ATGAATTCGAGAGGTAATATGCACTACAACTGTGAAGAATGGTGGTTGGGCAGTCATTCAATTGATTGTGTGCACTAGTACCTGCCATTTATAACCTTCTCTGTCTGGCAGATAATTTTCAATGGAAAATGAGAAGTTGTGTACAATGGAAAGGAAAATTGGTGGGTGTGCGATGGAGTGCTGATTTTCTCCCCTTCCCACTCCAACCAGTATCCTGCAGGCATTTTCTGCTTTCAATGTTGTGCCTATTCTGTGCACATGCACAGTGCAATGATGTAGAGGATCTGGAACCATGTACATGCATGTTTCTGAGTGAGGGCATATGCATGTTTGCCCTTGAGTTGCACCGTCAGCAACTATGAAGTTTTGTCTTTGCAGCCTCTTATCCATTCGATTAGCTAAATGGAGTCCTCAGTTCTTCTTTCTGATGCTATTTAAAGCAGTTAAACCTTAAGAGGTGGCATCACAAGATGTTCCAAATCTGATGGCGAGAAAAGAATAATGACATCCTCTTCCCAACCAACGTTCCCAGCATCAAAATGCAACTCACTCAGAACCTGCTCCATTGGAGAGGATATGCCGGTCACATTCCTCACAGCTGACTCCTAACTGCTCTATTTACAAATCAGTTGAAGCAAGAAGAGAGTTGGAAATAGCTTATGGATGTCCTCAAAGCACCTTGAACAATCCACCCAACTCCACCAACACTGGGAAGTCCCTGGCCTGTTACTGACCAAAGTAAAAAAGCTGTGTCCTGACTGTTGATTTTCTGCAATGCATTAGTGTGTGAAGTTGATGATTTGTTGAGTAGACGATATTGAAGGTGACCTTGACCAATTCTAAAAGAAATGAAACTGGAAGTTTTGCCTATCCTGCGTAATTTAAATCTGATCCTGAAACTATAGGTTATGAATCAGCATAACCAGAGAAAAACGGCCATTGCAGCACATTGTTCATTAAGTGCAGATTCATTACTTTTTTAAAAGATCAACTGCAATTAAATTGACCAAGCTGGATGCTCAATTCTAATTTTTGAACTTTCTAAAAAAATCATTATCACTGAATTACTGTGACTGTGTATAGACTTGGCAAGTGTCCACACTGTATACAAATAAGGATACAATGATAATTTATTTATCTGTGTCATTTCATTTAACCTGAGAGCAGAGCTGAACTAGCATACGTTCATTTCTGTGAAAGAATGGGAGTTAAGGAGCATAATTGGCATCCCATCCACGACCTTCAACATTGATCCACACCATTACCAATGCACAGTGGCAGCAGTGTGTATCACTTATAAGATGGACTGCGATAATGGCTCTTTCGACAGTGCTTTCCAAATCTATGACCTCCACCACCTAGAAGGAATAGGGCAGTAAATACATAGGAGCACCATTACCTGAAAATTCCCCTTCAAGCCACGAGTTTGAAACCACTTTGCTGTTCCTTCACTGTCACTGTGGCAAGATCCTGGAACAGCCTTCCTAACATCTCTGTGGATGTACCTACCTCCAGTGGACAACAGATGATTAAGATTACTGCTCACCAGACCCTTTGCAAAGGCAATTAGGGATAGGCAATAAAAGAAAACATTGTGTTAATTTCATTTGCCCCACCCCTGCTCCCTTTAGCTGCAAAGAAAAGAAAGAACTTGCATTTAAAATGTGTTTTTCTTGACCTCCGCACCCCTTTCAATGTATTTTGCAGATAACAAAACCTTCCAGAAACATTCCACAAGCATGGCCAGTGATGCCATATCCCATGAACAAATTTTAAATAAGTAGAACTGCCATATGGGCAGCATACTGGCTCACTGGTTAGCACTGCTGCCTCATGGTGCCAGGGACCCAGGTTTGATTCCACCCACGGGCAACTGTCTGTCTAGAGTTTGCACATTCTCCCTGTGTCTGTGTGGGTTTCCTCTGGGTGCTCTGGTTTCCTCCCACAGTCCAAAGATGTGCAGGTTAGGGTGGATTGGCCATGCTAAATTGTCCTGTAGTGTACAAACAACTGCCCATTCAAACAATGGAAGCTATTTCTGTTTAGAAAGAAAGCATCTTTCAGAATATGGATCTAAGTATGCATGCAACATCAGTAATTATCCTTGAGAAATGAGATGTAAATATGTAGGGGATTTTGTTTTCTCTTGTGATTGATCAATAAGAAAATATTTTAAAAAATGACTATTTTGGGCAAACAAAGCCTCAGTGATGAATATGTGTGCATCGAGTTAAGAGATGTGATTTAGGGATACCTGAGAAGCATAAATAATTATAGCAGTAGTTTTCAGGCCTGGCTGGAGGACAATGTGAGATTCTACTATAGCTTCCTTGGAGAATCACAGAGGTGAATTCTATTTTTGTTTCATGAGCAGTAATTCAATGGAGCGTATCCTGTCCAATTATCATGTCATGCAGTGAAATAACTCGTGCAAACAAAAACCCTTTCACTTTCACAGACAGGGTTCTTTCAGCAATGATGGCATGTAGATGAGTGGTACCATCTATAGTGGGCTCTACTTGATCAATGAGGAAACAAACAAATCCATCTTTTACACCTTCTTTAAATTTCTTCTAATCTAGGACTTGTAGAATAGAGCCAAAGGACCTTTTGTCCTCTAAACTTATAGTACAGATGGTAGATGAGGTACTGTTTTAGGAATCTGAGAAAAACAGCAAAGAACCATGAAGCCTGTGGTACTGGCTGACTCCTCTGAGTCTACAATAAAAGAAAATGTATGATTGTGTCTGATTCATACATTCAGACATTCTGGCTGCATAATTGGCCACGGCTGTATTTTCTTCTGGGTCCCACTGAACTTAGTGTACAACAAGACTCTCGACAACAACTCATCAAAAAATTTTAGAACATAATATTATGCTGCAGTAAACTGATCGGCCTCACAACCCAAGAATATGGGGTGCCTCTTTCTGATCAAAGCAGTGTTAGTGTTACTATGAAATGATCCAACAAGCAAAAAAGCAATAATAAAATAGGCATAGCACAAGATAGAAGCAGAAGTTATGATCTGAAGTTGTTGGAATCCATATTGAGTATAGGTGTCGAGACCAACTTTTCTGGATTGTTTCTTTCCTTACCCTTTCATGTTGCATTCAGATTGTTGCTATATACTCAACCACACCTCATCTGTGTACAAACTATTACTAGACCCATTACCACCCTCTTTGGCTTTTGCATCTTTTGTTAGTTGACCTTTCCTGCTCTCTACCCTCTCACAGACCCTCACTTTGTACTTCCTGTCCCCTTTCCCCCATGATTCCCCACCCTTTTACTGACTTAAAAACGCTTCATCTCTATCTGCCCTCCTGTTCTGATGGAAGGTCAACCTGAAATGTAAACTCTATTTTCATTCCACAAGTACTGCAAGATCTCTTAAGTGTCACTTATATTTCAGATTTGCAGCATCCAGACTATTTTGATTTATTTTCTGAAGTTATATTCAATAGCGTTTAACCTATATTGTTACAAACTTGTGATAAAGTGGGGCAAAAGGTATAATCTCTGACCTTTCTAGAAAGCGCCAACGTACTTTCACACACATTTACTCAAACGAGAAAACTTGTCCTTGGACTATAAGTATCGAGAATAAAAGTGGAGCCAGACAATCTCAATATTGTTATCAGGTGCTGTCACAAATACAGCCACAACATTTCAGTGGATTTGGAGAGTGGCAGATATTGTACTAACAAGTCATTCATCATGGTAGAGGAAGTGGGGATAAAGGTGACACCTTTGGTTTCAAAAATATTGTAAGTTATTGGTGATAAAGAATATTAATCACATAAAGCCAACAATATCCTGGAGGAGTCTAGTCAATATTTGGGCCTTGTGACTCCATTGAGTCCATTTAAACCCTCCATAGATATAGACACTGGTATCTTTGCAGTGTTTATATCACTAGGTTGTCAAAAGGAAAGGTCAGTGGAATTCTGTCAGAAGAGGCTATACTCCTGGACTTGTTTTTCCCTGCCCTAATGAATCTAATACTATTTAGTATATTGAGTACGTAGCAGCAATCTGAATGGTAGCATAATTCCATCAACTCCTGGTCCCATCAAGAACTCCCATCTATCAACTTTTGGGAAGAGACATAACGTTTCCAGGTCCTGCCCAATTTCTGACATCATCCACTGTATTTTGGGCAATATTTGTTTGCTGGGAGTGACCAGGTCTTGAGAAAATTCAGAGCAGATGTGTTGTTTGAAGTTTAAAATGCCTTTTTGGTGAAGTTGCTTGGTGAACTGAAAACGTTGAGTGTTAGAAGTCAGGTTACACCCAGTTTTGTGCTTGTGAAGAGTGAAGAGATTGGGCTCTTCACTTGACCAATGAGATGAAAGGCACAACTGATATTGGAACTTAAGCTTTGGGCGAAGATAGTAATCCCTGGGAATTAAGTAGCTGAGGTAACATTAATCAAATAGAAGAGGAGACCCCTGGTTCTTTTGGCTCCATGTTCCAGGAAATTATATTTTTTAAAGAAAAAATCTTGTTGGTTGCAGCCAAAGTGGCACTTCCTTTAAAGAGAATTTGTTCAGCCATAGACCTCTCATCAAGTGAGCCCTGCAGTGGATGCTGTAACAGGTATTTAGCCCCTTATTTAGATACGCACAAGTTATAAATCTGGTTCTGCATTACCATAGCACAATGATTCTATTTTATGTCCACACCAATGTGGTTGATTATGTTTTTTCTGCTCGTAAAGAGCGTACAATCAGGGGAGACATATGGTGGGGGATCCTTTCCAGTGGTGAAGCCTGTCAACAGCTGACAGTGTTGCAGGTACAGTTGGGCAATAAAAAAATTTTCTAGTTAAACAGGGAGGCTCTGCTCCATGGCTAAAACTTTCCAGTACTTATTGCCCAACTCCATTGTTTCATAGAACACTTCCTGTTTATCATTTTGGAAGCATAAGGGACTGTTTCAGATCATGACACTTGCACAGAAATTCAAAGTTAAAAATTTGTCAATTATGTAGCAGAAAAGTGGTATAAGATTAAGCAAGGTATTAAAAACGAAATAGGAAGAACTTATCACTTGGAAGGAATATGTGCCCTTGGAAATTTGCTGTCTTTTTTCTTTGTTTGTGTCACTTAGTTTCTGTATCAGCAGTTATTTCCCTTGGTCTTTTGTAATCTAACCATATAATTCCCCTTTGTGATAGTTGAAATTTGTGGTTGTTTAATTAAAAAAAGGAAGTTGACTTCTGGTGCTCAAAGGAGACATTTCTGTCTGCAACTGTGTCTTATAATGACAGATCGTCTGAGTTAATGAATGTCATCATAGGGATTAGATGTTGGCCATTCACATCAAGGGCATGATATCTTCAATGAGGAATGGTAACATTGTAGCTATGTTACTGGATTAGTAATCCAGAGCCACAAATTCAGATCCAACCGTTGCAGTTGTGGAACTCAGTTTCAGTAATGGTAAACAGTCATGTCCCCAACAGATTATCATGAAAATTATTTGGTTCACTAATGTTATTTGGCCCTTTGACTCAGATCAATGTGCTTCACTCTTAATTGTTCTCTGAAATGGCTTAACCAGACATTGAGTCAATGAAGTTCAATAGGTGATAAATGGTCACATCCAGTGAATGGAAAGAAATTACTCAAATAGTGAACCAGTTCAGGCCTGAATGACGTTTAGGCTTGAGATGATAAATAGCATTTGACATTCTGGCCATACAGTTATCAGGCATCAATGTCAAATACCACTTTTCAGCAAAATCCAACAGGAGGTGATTAAAACATCTACTCTTGACTTCAGTTGCATTACAGTTGTTGTCTCCACCACCAACAACATCCCAGGAAGATCAATGATCAGAAGTTAACTGGACCAGTCACTTTAGCAGTGTCACTAATAGATGAAGTCAGAGTCAGGGTTTTGTGGGGCTGTCATCTTGAATCTCCAAATATGCAGAAAAATACTGATAAATGTTGTTTTTGCTTTCTAACTCTTTGGTTTTTTTTGACAGATTCACAGAATGTGAACATCACTAGCAATGCCAACATTTGTTGCTCGTCCCCAATTGCCTTAGAAATGGTATGGTCAACCATTATGGTGGTGAAGGTATGCTGTTACAGAGTTCAAGGTGTTCAATGTGGCTGGTACAAGTTCGGAGAATGATGGGCTACTTCTTGCTTGCCTGGCAATGTTGAAGAAGCTCTACACCATCTAGGAAAAGGAAGCATATTTGATTGATGGTTGATAGGATGTCAAAAACATTTAGTTCTTTCACTGTGCCTGCAATGCATACCATCAATGAGATACATTGAGCAACTCACCAACATTTCTTCAATAACATCTTTCAGAAACACAATCTCCGTAGTCAAAAAGGACAGGAGCAACAGGCACATGGGTGCATCACCACCTCCACGTTTCCCTCCAAGACAGTGTAACTGCACAATGAGATTACTTTCATCACTGGCCTGGTAGCTCAGTGGTTAGCACTGCTGCCTCACTGCACCAGGGACACGGGTTTAATTCCAGCCTCGGGCAACTGTGTGTGTGGAGTTTGCATATTCTCCTCATGTCTGTGTGGGTTTCCTCCAGTGTCTTCCGGTTTCCTCCCATAGTCCAAAGAAGTGCAGGCTAGGTGGATTGGCCATGGGGAATGAAGGGTTACAGGAATAGGGTAGGGAGGTGGGCCTGGGTGGGGTGGTCTTCAGAGGGTTGGTGTGGACTTGAAAGGGCAAATGGCCTGCTTCCACAGCATGAGGATTCTATGATAAACACTTGATTGGTTGTTTCTTCTTGGTGGCTTTGGATTATGAGCTTTTAAAATTAAATATAGTGATTTGATTGCTCAATTCTTTATGGCTCATTCATTGACTAAATCAATTTGCTTTTGCTTTGTTCAGGTTTAGCAAATAATAAGTCAAGACCACATTTTAGCCAATCACAATTCTTCACTCAACAGATATGGGGTGCTAAAGTGCAACAGCTGAAATATGACAATAGTGAAATGTGATGCATTAATTGTGTGGCATGTAACACGATGGCTGCACTAGACGTTAAATGTTCACACCTCATAGATATATGGCAACTTTTCTCCTGAAAGTGACCAAAGGATAGGACTATTGAAATAAAACCAGATTAATGCTGGAATTACACTACAGGTCAGGCAGAAACTCAAGAGAGAACGCTTCAATGTTGAAATCTTAACTGTTTCTGACCTTGGATATTCCCCTTCACTATTAAGTATGTCTAATAATTTCCGACTTAGTTTCCGAATTTCAGCATTTGCATCTCTTTGAGGCCAACGAGGGATAGGCTGATATATAAATGTGCAATCAGAAAGTATTGAAACAGCAACATTTGGATATAAAATTCATAGGTTCCCATGAGGAAAGTATGTAGCAAATGTATGCAAAAATTTATTTTCACTTTCTATCTTTATTCTTGTCTTTCGGATCAATTCCCAGAAAGTGAAATATCACTGGCAATGTCAACATTTGTTGCCTCCTGGATGATGTGGTCATTCATAGTGGTTATAGAATCATCAATAGAATCTGTAGAAAATGGAAGCAAACTATTCGGCCCATCAGGTCCACACTGACCGTCCAAAGAGCATCCCACCCAGACCCAACCCCCCCCTACCTTATCCCTGTAACTCTGAATTTTCCCATGGCTCATCCACCTAGCTTGCATATCCCAGGACACAATGGAGAATTTAGCATGGCCAATCCACTTAACCTACACATCTTTGGCTCAGCGGGAGGGAACCAGACCACCTGGAGGAAGCCCAAGCAGACACAGGGAGAATGTGCAAACTCCAGGCAGACAGCGGCCAAAGGCTAGAATTAAACCCAGCTTCCTGGTGCTGTGAGGCACTAACCACTGAGCCACCCTGACACAACATTAGATAAGGTCGTACCATTGTCTTAAAACACTATATTGATTTTTTTCATTCATTTGGAAATTTATTACACACAGTAATATTAATTCACACATAACATAAACTAATTGTTTGTAAAAATCTGAATATATGCTCCAAGTAACCAATCTTCCGGAATGATGCAACAATTACATACAGAAAAACTAATTGTACGAACTCGATAGTCAACGCAACGTGTTACATCCAGTAGCTGAACAAAGTCTCCGAATGCAAAGAAGGATTAGCACCAAAACTGCTCACTTCAAGATCGAAAATTTTAAAAAATGATCAGGCTGCAAAGAACTTGCTTCACATTAATTGCTTATCCACTAACCCCAAGGGCTTGTTGTCTTGCTTCTTCATTCACCTCCTTAGAAATGCATCCCTGTCGGAACTTCTGTACAAGACACGTCCTCAGTTATATATCCCATCTACTCAAATATTCTCTGATTTACTAGAAGCATAATATGAGTGATGGTAAAGGGAAACAAAACGACATTAGAAAGTGAAATAATCTGCTTATATCGCAGTTGAGGTTTACAAATGTTCTGAGAGACACCTGTATATTCTTCTGCTGTACATCCCCCTCTGTTAATGTAAAGATCAGTGCTTGAACAGGCTGTTGGTCAACAAAAGACTGTCAAAGCAGCTACAATTGCTATCCAGTTCTCCAGTAAGGTGAAACCAGACAAAATAGATTGGAATGGACTAGAGCACAAGCTCTCAATAGCTCAAACCACAGCAGTGCTGGAAGCAAAACATATGATCAAAGAGGGTTTAGCAATGGCTGTGCAAGCTATGCCACACTGCAACGATATAAGCTTGTCAATATCTCCACAAATTGTAGAGGTTATTTGGCACCATTAAAATTACTGAATGAGCTGCTGATGCTGAGCTACAGAAGTATATATGTCATTTGACTGTTGTAGCTCTGAATCTTTAGGGCCTGTATTTATTGGATTTTATGATCAGCAAGTTCCAGTTCCAACAGTTCCACCTACACCCATGCTCCCTAGGTCATTATTCCTTCTGCTGCAACCTATTGTGCTTGTCTCTACAGAAGTATGTGCCACTGGCTTCTGAGATTGTAGCAAAGATTAAGTACTGTAGTCACCAATTTATTATTAATGTTGACTTTTCTCTTTGACACTGTGCACATACACAAAATAAAGTACTGTTAGCTGACGCATATACACATTACTCTGATATACTGAAGATATTTATATCGACCTGTAGCTTGGTTCTAACAAACATAAGTAATTTATTTATTTTCACCCATTCATGTAAAGTGGGTGTTACTGGCTGACCACCGTTTACTGCTCATCGCTAATTACCCTTAGGAAGATGGGAGTATAAACTGCCTTTTGAACTGCTGCAGTTCGTGGGGTGTAGGTACACACGCAGTGCTGTTAGGAAGGGAATTCCAGGATTTTAACCCAGTGGACTGTGAAAGAAAAGAGATAATAGTTCCAAGTCAGAATGGTCTGTGACATCGAGGGGATCTTGCAACTGGTACTGTCCCCATGGATCTGCTGTCCTGAACCTTCTAGATGGTAGAGTTTGCAGGTTTGGAAGGTGCTATCATACGAGGCTTGACAAGTTGTTGCAGTGCATGTTGTAGAAGGTATCTACTGCTGGGAGAGTGTACCAATTGAGAAGGAAATAAAGCTTTAAGATGGTAGATGGGATGCATTCAGATGTACTGACATTGTGCATTGGTGGTGGTGGAATGGAAATTGAAGGTGTTAAGTGGGTTGCTAATCAAGTGGATTACCTTTTGGGCTTCTTTAGTGTCGCTGGAACTTCTCTCACTCAGGCAAGTGGAGAATATTCCATCAACTTCCTGACTCTTACAGATGGTGTACAGGCTTTGGGGAATCACAAAATAAGTAAGTCCTCACAGAGTCCCAGTGTCTGATCTGTCCTTGCAACCGCAATATTTATATAGCTGGTCAGTTCAGTTTATGATTATTAGTAACATCTGGGAGAGGGGAGTGGGGTTCAATGATAGTTATGCCGTTGAATATGAAGGGGTAATGGTTAGATTATCATTCAAAATGGTCATTGCTTGACACTTTTGTAGCAAATGTCATAGAATTATAGAACCCCTACAGTGTGGAAAGAGGCTGTTTGGCCCATCGACTCTGCATCAATTCTCCAACAACATCCCATCCAGACCCAGTCCCCTACAATATCCCAAAACCAGTTTACCATGACTAATCCCACAAGCCTACACATCCCTGAACACTACGGACAATTTTAGTATGGCCAATCCATCTAACCTGCGCATCTTTGGACTGAAACATGCAAATTCCAACCAGACAGTCACCCGAGGTTAGAATCAAACCGAGGTTCCTGGTGCTGCGAGGTAGCAGAGATAACCACTGAGCCACTGTGCCACCCATAATATGTTGCTTGTCACTTGTCAGCCAAAATCTGGATATTGTCTAGGTTTTGCTGAATTGGGACGTAGACTGCTTCAGTGTCTGAGGATCTGTGCATGGTGCTCAGCACTGTGCAGCCATTAGCAAATGGTCTCATTATGGAAGGAAGATCATTGATGAAACAACTGAAAAGGACACTATATTGAGGAACTCCTGCAGAGATGTTCTGGAACTGAGATAACTGATCTCCAGATCTCCAACAACCACAACCATTCTTTTTTGTGCCAGATCTAATTCCAGCCAGCAGAGACATTTCCTCCTGATTCACAGATAGTAGGAACTGCAGATGCTGGAGAGTCTGAGATAACAAGGTGTAGAGCTGGATGAACACAGCAGGCCAAGCATTCACATTGGCTGCAGTTTTTCTGGGGTCCTTGATGACATTCAGTCAAATGTGGCTTTCATATCAAGAGCTGTCACTCTAACCTCTCCTCTGGAATTCAGCTCTTTTTTCGCACTAAGGCTGTAATAAGGTCAGGAGCTGTGTGACCCTGGTGGAACCTAAACTTGGCATCACTGAGCAGGTGCTGTTTGATAACACTATTGATGACACCTTCCATCACTTTACTGATGATCCAGAGTAGACTGATGAGGCAGTAATTGACTGGGTTGGACTTATGTACTTTTTATGTATAGGACTTTTTTTTTCAAACAGTTTTACATATGGTTAGGTTGATGCCGGTGTTGTAGCTGTATTGGAACAGCTTGCTGGGGAGCAGCAAGTTCTGGAGCACAAGTCTTCAGTAGTATTGCTGGAACATTGTCAGGCCCAATAAATAGCCTTTTCAGTATCTAGTGCCTCTAACTGTTTTTTGACAACACATGGAGTGAATCAAATTGGCTGAAGACTGATATCTGCGATGCTGGGTACCTCTGCAGGATCATACATTCAGCACTTCTGGCTGTAAATTGTTGCAAATGCTCAGCCTTACCTTTTGTGTTAAAGTGCTAGGCTCTTCCATCTTTAAGGATGGATCTTTATATTTGTAGCCTCCTCCTCCAGTGAGCTATTTAACCACCATCATTCACAACTGAATGTGGCAGGACTGCAGAGCTCAGATTTGATCTGTTTGCTTTGTCTGCCATTTGATGTTTACACTGTTTGACATGTAAATAGGCCTGTTTTGTAGCTTCACCAGAGTTGATGACTCATTTTGAGGTGTGCCTGGTGCTGGTCCTGACATGCTGTCCTGCACTTTTCATTTCAAAATGGTAGCCGCATAGCTATGGATTTGGGGTCACACATAGGTCAGACCAGGGGAGCATGTGAGATCTTCCTTTCACAAAGAACATTAGTGAACCAGATGGTCTTCTAAGACAATCAACAATTACTTCATGGTCACCATCTGATCAGCTTTAATTCCAGCTAAATAGACTTGCCGGTATCCATGCTTTGCATTTAGCTTGGAAACAAATCGTAGACACATTGTCTCATAGAGGTCTGTAGTACAGAAAGAGACAATTTAACAGTCATGTCTGCACTGGTCAACAAAGATCCAAATTGAATTGAATTAGCTTTATTGTCACATGTACTCAAATGAGTTCAGTGAAAAGTTTTGCAAGTTGCCTCTTACAGAGCCATTTTACGTACAAAGTACCCAGGAACAGATTCTTCAGTACAAGTTCTTAGGGAAAAAAATTAGAAAAATAAGAAAAAGTTCAGTATTACAGATCACAAGAATAAGTTAGAAAAAACAGAAGTACAAAGTTCAGAACAACAGTCCTTCCAATCCAGACCAAGTGACACCTAGCCTCCAGGCCACACTGTGCGTTGACTCCAGACTGTGCTGAACTTCACATCAAGGCTCTTGAGGCCAGGAGACCGTTTTGGATTCACCTCAAGGCTGGAATTCCAGCTGAGGACACGCCAGGCTGAAACACTGCCATGGTCTGCCGAAAGACCTCCACACCGGGCCGGGAGACCATCACACCGGGAGACCATCACACTGGGAGACCATCGCACTGGGAGACCCTCGCACCGGGAGGCCATCATACCGGGCTAAGGCTTGTCACAGTGGCCTGAAAGACCACCCAAGGCATGTAATTGTTGGCCTGACATTATGGCTTCATACTTGCATTCGTTCTCAATTCGTGAATCAATGGTATTGCCCTTTCACTTTCCAAAAAAAAAGATTCTTTGTAAAGACTTTAGTTGATACAGAAATAGTTAATAACTCAATAAGTCCGTCTGTCAGTTCCTTTTTGGAAAAGTCACGCTCATGTCCCTTGCTGT